AAAAAAAAAAAAACAAAAAAAACACCCCAAATTGTAAGAGGAAAAGGTTTGACTGCACTAAAATTAAAATCTTGTGAATAACAAGAGACATCAAAGCAAAATAAAAGACAAGAAATAGAGTGGGGAAAGATAGGTGCATTGTGTATGGCTGGCGAATGGTAAGTGTACGGAATGTATAAAGAACACCTACACATTAAAGAAAAAAGATAACTTGGTAGGAAAAAATAGGGAAAGGTGGTGAGCAGGCAAGGTACAGAAGAGGAGACGTCTAGTGGTCAGTAAGTACACAGGGATACTAAGCATCTCTAGAATCAGGATAGGTAGATTACATACAATAGATGAGGTAGAATTTCACATTCATTCAATCGGCATAAGATTTTCGAGTGTGACATTGTGGGGAAATCAGAACTCATATCTGCTGCTTATGATTAAATTGGTACAACTGCTTTGTAATTAATCAAAGGCATTAAACAAAGTTAATGACACACATACCCTAGAATGATATACATTCCACGTGAGCAGGGGCAACACAAACAAGGAAGTTTGTAACAACAAAGAAATTGGTCATGTCCATCAATAAAATGCCTAACTGTACTGTGGTATAGGAATACAGAGACTTGAAGAAAAACCAGAGGCCCAGCTCTGGTTCCTTTTCAGCTTCTAACTGATGATGGGACTTCTGCTTCTGCATAGGATGCTCTCCCCAAGATAGTCTTGGGCTCATTCCCTTACCACCTTCAGGTCTGTGCGTAAATTCCACCTGCTCAGAGAGACTCCCCGACCCAGCCTCTGCACCCCTTAACACTGTATTGCTAAGCAGGGCAATTTAAAGGATAAGAATATAGACTGTGGCCAGACTGGATTCAAATTCTAGTTTTACCAAGTGATATCTGTATGACTGTAGGAAGTTATTTAAATTTTCTGTGACTCAGTTTCCTCCTCTGTAAAATGGAGATAATAGTTTTCACCTAGAAGGGCTGTTGTGAGGACTGAAGGAGTTAATATGCCAGAGGTAGAAGAGTCCATGATATAAAGGAAGTGCTAGTTAAAAGTAACTTGTATGGCTGTTAAAATGAATGAATGAACTAGACTGGAGTGACATTGACAAGTCTCATAAACATGCTGCTGAGTGGACAGAGCGAGTTCCACATATACCTCACCCCTCCCTGGACTTCTGCCATAATTATGAGCAGCCCACAGCCTAGTCCTTGATTATACCCCACTGCTTGATGTCCTTTTCACAGGTTTTAGTTCCCACCACTGCTGTCCATGACCATCACAGCCTGGCCAAGGCGGTTTGCAGTAGTATTCATCAAACTGAATGAGGATGAGTTAAATTAGTTCTGAAAAGTCCCTCCCTCCCTCCCTCCCTTCCTTCCTTCCTTCCTTTTTCTTCCTTCCTTCCTTCTTTCTCTCTCTTTCTCTTTCTCTCTCTTTCTCTTTCTCTCTTCTTTCTTTCTTTCCTTTCTTTCTTTCTTTTCTTTTCTTTCTTTCTTTCCTTCCTTCTTTCTTTCTCTCTCTCTCTCTCTTTCTCTCTCTCTCTCTCTTTCTCTCTCTCTCTTTCTCTCTTTCTCTCCTTCTCTCCTTCTCTCCTTCTCTCCTTCTCTCCTTCTCTCCTTCTCTCTTTCTCTCTTTCTTTCTTTCTTTCTTCTTTCTTTCTTTCTTGTTGGAGCCTCCCTATATTGCCCAGACTTGTCTTGTTGTCTTGAACTGGACCCACACAATCTTCCTGCCTTGGCCCCTCAAAGTGCTGGGATCACAGTCATGAGCCACTGTTCCGGATGCTGTATTTTAAGATGACATAAAGACAGAAGAGTGAGGGTCGTGGAGCAGATGAGCAGCGAAAGTGCCTGGAAAGGGAGAGAGAATCCCCGTGCCAGGTGTTACCAGGGCGGGAATTCTGTGACTCCAGGACAGAGTCGGGAGTGTCACCCCAGCCCCTTTCCAAAGGCCTGGAATCCACCGGGGAGGAGCCATTAACGACTACATTCACAGAAGACTGTGCATTAGAAAGATCTGGAAAGATCCATGCCGAGCCCTTAGCACTGGCTACAGGAGGCAGGGTGGGATTAGGGGCCACCAGGCGAATGGAGGCTTTCTTTCTACTCCTTTTAGAGTCTGGCTTTGTCACCCAGGCTGGCGTGTAGTGGCACTATCTCTCACAACCTCTGTCTCTGGGGTTCAAGCAATCTCTCGCCTCAGCCTCCCAAGTAGCTGGGACTGTAAGTGTGCACCACCACGCCTAACTAATTTTTGTATTTTTTTTTTTTTAGTAGAGAAGCGTTTTCGCCATTTGGCCAGGCTGGTCTTGAACTCCTGATCCACCTGTCTCAGTCTCCCAAAGTGCTGGGATTACAGACGTAAGCCACCACGACTGGTCTCTCTCTACTCTTTGTACTTTTACTCTGGACATTTTTGCATTGTTTGAATTTTGTCCAGTGAGAAAAACATGTTTATTACTTGTGAGATATTAAAAAGAAAAAATTATCTTATACATTAGAGGTACTCAGTGAATGGGCATTACTATTATTCTTTAAAACAAAGACTTTCCACCCAGCATAGGGGTCCCCAGACAGGAAGCACCCGGCTTGGGCTGGGAGGAGGCTCCTGTCTGCAGCCTCTTTCTCACACAGTCCAGCTGGCCCTTCAGCAAGTCACATTGGCTCTACTTTCAAAGCACATACTGAATCCTATCTCATCCCTCATCTAGTTTCTACCTTGCTCCTTCCAACACACTCTACCCATCGGTCAGAGATCTTAGGAACCCTAATCAGGTGGCTGCCATATTCTGAACACTGGCCATGTGCCAGGTACTGTTCTAAGCAGGTATACATTTTAACTCAGTTAATCCTATAACCAGGGGTTCCCAAACCCCAGGCCATGGCCCCCCGTCTGTGGCCTGTTAGGAACCAGGCCACACAGCAGGAGGTAAGCAGCAGGTGAAGCTTCATCTGTATTTAAGCATCTGTAGATGCCATCTGTATGCAGCGGCTCCCCACCGCTCACATTACCACCTGAGCTCCGCCTCCTGTGGGATCAGTGGCAGCATTAGATTCTCACAGGAGCCGGAACCCTATTGTGAACTGCACATGGGTGAGATCTAGGTTGCACGCTCCTTATGAGGATCTAATTCCTATCACCCGCAGATGGGACCATCTACTTGCAGGAAAACAAGCTCAGGTCTCCCACTGATTCTACATTCATTATGGTGAGTTGTATAATTATTTCATTATATATTAAAATGTAATGATCATAGAAATAAAGTGCACAACGAATGTAATGTGCTTGAGTCATTCCGAAACCATCCCCCACCAACCCTGGTATGTGGAAAGATTGTCTTCCACAAAACCAGTCCCTGGTGTCAAAAAGGCTGGAGACCGCGGCTATAACAACGCTGGGAATTCGGTGCTATTAAGATCTCCCTTTTCTAGATGGAGAAACGTTCAATAACTTGCCTCAGACCCGCATCATGAAACAGCAGAGCTGGGATCCCACCTGAGGAGCGCATGCTCTCTGCCCCCTCCCCACCTGCTGTCACAGCCTCCCGTGCTCCTCAGGTGAGATCAGAGCTTACTGCTAAGGCCGCACGACCTGGCCCCTGTCCACCTCCCACCACCTTGCTCCACACCACAGGCGTCATGGCTGCTCCTCCACCAGGAATTCTCCTTCTCAGGAGCTCCCAATAACGTATTCTGTCACTCTACCCGGCTCTAGGCTTGAAGGTCACCTCCTCAGAAAAGCTGCCCTCACCACCTTTCGAAAATAGTCCCCATTTGATTCTCAGCCCCTTTCCTGCTGTAATCTTATTCGTAGGTCGTATCGCTTCCTGACCTTACACTTCAAGCCTTGTTTGAAGGTTTATGATCTTTTTCTCTAGAAGTTCTGCTCCACAAGAACAGGGACTTTGTCCTCAGTGCCTCGAACAGAGCCTGGCCCAGCACAGGAGCTCCGTAATGAATGAATGCCCCCTAAGACAGCGCACTAGGCTGCTGGGACTGTTCCTCGGGGCTGCTAGGCGTATCTGCTCCCCGGCCAGGATGGTGCTCTCTCTCTGGGTCAGCAGTGCAGCAGTCCTTCCTGCTGAGGCCCCTGGCAGGGCAGAAGGTGAAGGAAGAGCTTCTCTATTCTCTCCCCACCCGTTGCTAATCTTCCACCACTCTGTGCTCCCTTCTGTCTACCCCTCCAGCCTCAGGGCGTTCATCTTTCCAGCCACCTGGAAATGGTGGGCACATCCGTCCACCTCAGCGTGATGGAGAGTTGAAGAGTGACCTCTCCCCAGCGTATTCACATTTTAAAAGAGGCCAGGCAGGGCAACACTGAAGCCCGATGTATGACCGCATGGCCAGGTAGCTTCTTGCAGCACCACATTTGATGTTGGAGGGAGATACTGCCCTTTACTCTCCCAGGCGCCGGGAGACAGAGCATCTCAGAGGTAAGGGCACTGAGGGAGAGGGACAGGGGTCCAGGCTCACCCTGCAGGTCAGAGACTGGCGCCTGGCAGACCCCAACCTTCAGATGTCCCAGCTGCTGCCGTCATACTCCACTCAGCTCTTCCCTTCCTTTCCTGCCACCCAGGCCTGGCTTTGTTCCCTAAAAAATCCCCAGCCTCCTTCAGGCTCATTCTGCCTCGATGGAATCCCCCCAGAGACTTTCCAGGGGACCCAGAACACAGGCCTTACCCTTACCCATTTCGATCCCGCAGATGGCCAGGGCAGCGATCACAGCACCTGCAGATGTCCCTGCGAAGCGGTGGGCTGTTTTCAGCATCCGGGGGGCCAGGTCCCGCAGGGCGTCCACGGCCCCGGCCTGGTAGAAGGAGAGGAATCCACTGCCGGAGAAGGAGATGGAGTGGGGGGTGTCCGGGTCCCCCTTGAACACCTGTTCTTCCATCTCTTCGGCCTCTGGCTTTCCGTGGAAGGAGGGACCACCCGTCAGCACTTGCCTGCCTGAGCCCGGGCTGCCGCTCCCTGCAGGAACTCCCTGCCCAGCTTCCCTGCCAGCCCGGAGCCTGGAATGTGGCTGTCCCTGTCCGGTCTGCTGGAGCAACCACAGGCTGCTCGGGCAGCTGCCTCAGCCTGCTAAGCTCTGCCAGGAGGCAGCCCCAAAAGTTGGAAAGGGGCCCCAGGACAAGATGCAGAAGGCCTCCCTGGTGTGTGAGCAGGGTCCTGATCCTGTGAGCCCCTCGCCGGCCTCATTTCTTGGCTACATTCATCTCGGGCACGGGCTCCTCAGCCCTCTGCCCATCCGTGGTACACAGAGCCGTGTTCACTGCTCCCCACACAGGGCCATGCCCAAGGAGGCGGGCTCTGCCCAGCCCTCAGCTGCAACATTCAGTTGCAAAACCTCTGTAATGGTTATCGGGCACCTCCCTCCCCGACATGCTGCTGCGGCCGTGAAGGGCTTCCAAGCCTGCCTCCCTCCAGAAGGATGATGCCCGCGCTGTCTTTTCTGGACAGGTCCCCCAAAAGAGATGCCCCTTCTGGGCTCCTTCAGGCGGTGTGGTATGTGTGATGTGTTACACAAGCATTTTTATTTGTTCTTCTTACAGGAGCGCCCCTTCATTTATTCACTTGTTTATTTACATGTTAGCATCGGCCCTGGGTAAAACTGTCGGAGAAGTTTGACTTTGGGGGCTCCACCCACCACCGCCTCTGCACCTCTCACTGTCTCCTCCTGGGCCCTTCGCTGACCCCGTGACCTTGGTCAGTGCCTTCTCACCAAGCCCCACGCCCTCATGCTATCTTCTAACTGTTCAGGAAGAAGTCAGCCTGAAATCTAGATCATTGTAAGTGTGTGAGGCTTCGTGTTGTATGTTTTACTTCCCGCTCAGAAATGAGAAGTTTGAGATAGCAATGTTTAACTCCAAGGATGAGCAGCTGGGGAGGTCACCTGGGGGGACGTCGGGGTCAGGGCAGAGAAACGTTTTGGTGAGGGAGGTGGACCAGGGTTAGCTCCAGGGGCCGCGGTTCCACCCCCTGAGGAGCCACATAATGTGGTCCTAATGAGGAGGAGGAGTGGTCCTCACACCCAAAAAATGTCCCCTCATGGAGATATCACAAAGAAGACAAGATTGCCTCTCCTTGCTCCCCTCAGAGACCACACAGCAACAAAAGCAGAATCAGAATCAAGACACCAAGTCCTACACCAAGTGCCAATCCAGCTCCAGCCTCTCTGTCAGGATGAGATATCATTGGTGTCCCCGCCCCTGGGGAGCTCACACCATTCTGGTGGACTCACTCATCTACATAAGAATTCCACAGGGAGGGCAAGGCCAGTCTTCAATTAGGAGGGAGTTTTCTAGGCCAGCTCGGTGGCTCACGCCTGTAATCCCAGCGCTTTGGGAGCCCAAGGTAGGTGGATCATGAGGTCAAGAGTTCAAGACCAGGCTGGCCAAGATGGTGAAACCCCATCTCTACTAAAAATACAAAAATTAGCCGGGCGTGATAGCACACGCCTGTAATCCCAGTTACTCAGGAGGCTGAGGCAGAAGAATCGCTTGAATCCGGGATGTGGAGGTTGCAGTGAGCCAAGATCTTGTCACTGCAATCCAACCTGGGTGACAGGGCAAGACTCCGTCTCAAAAAAAAAAAAAGAGGGAGTTTTCTGTCTTGGGTAGGTAATTCCAGGCATATAATTGCCTCAGGTTGAAAAGAGACCTTTAGATTAGATGTGTAACAGATAAAGTTTGTGTGTATGTATGTGTGTGTGTGTGTGTCCCCGCGTGCAGCTATGCATGTGTGCGTGTGTGTGCAGAGATCTGAGGCATTCTGCTGGGGTGGGGGCGGGTATGTCAGGGTGGAGTCTAGTCAGCTTTTGGACAGCAGAGACCCTGTCCCCTTCCTGGGAGGTCAGTTCAGCTCCAGTGAGTACTTGCGTGCCCAGCGCTGTGCCATGTTGGGGCCCTGCGGACAGGAGTACATAGAGGCTCCATCTTCAATTCATATATTTGCAGGCTTCTTGGGAATGAGACAGGCAAATGTGAAATAAGCAGAGAACCATATAAGGCAATCTATAATTAAGTACTAAACGGTGCAGGGCTGAGATTCCTGCCAGGAAAGTTAGGAGGTGGGGCTGAGCAGTGTGGGCTGGAACATCTGAGGAACTGTGCCGCGGAGCCGCCGAGCTGTGGGCTACGGGGCCCGGAGGCAGCGGGGAGGAGCAGGCAGGGCACTGGGACCAGGCGTAGCAGGAGCCCCTTACACAGAAGGGGAGGGGTGTCCTGGAGCCAGTTTCACAGGACAAAGGGCTTTGGATGAGAGGCCTTCCAAGTCATGACGTTGGATCCCAGCTCTGCTGTTTACAAGCAGTGTGGCCTTTGCATGATCGCTCTGGACCTCAGTTTTCCTCATCTGTGAAAGGAACAACACTGTCATTCCTGTGCTGCCCAGTAGCTGTAAGGCTAGAGGTAATAGCTGCAGGGTGCCTGGCACAGGGCAGGCCTGTGGTTACCAGAGGGTAGTAAGAGCCAAGGCTTCTGGAACAGATGGACCCCAGAGTTAAGGTAGAATAGAGAGGCAGGGTCCAAAGGGGAAGGCTTGATCCACATGTGACATGCAGAGGAGCTTGGAGGGGTCTCAGGCAGCAGAGCCTTGGAAGAAAGATGTGACTGAGGCTGGAGGCTGGTGATGGCCAGGCCAGGGAAGCAGCTGCAGGAAGACAAGTGAATGAAGTTATTGCTGCAGAAGATTCTCAGGGGCAGGGACTGGTTGGATGGGCAGGGTGAGTCATGGCGGAGGCCTCGCTTTTAGCCTCGGGGTAGGGAGGAGTGGGGCTGTCTTCAGCACAGCTGGGGAAACTGGGACAGACCTGGGGAAGCTGGGTGGAGGATGATTTTACTTTACAATGCATCTGAGAAGACAGCAAGACATTGGCGCTATCCACGGAGGGGGTTGGCAGGGATGGCACCAGAAGAAAGGACAGAGACCCCTGCCACTGAGGCAGCAGAGAAGGACAAGCAGGTGCAGGAGGGCATGGGGTCATGCTGAAGGGAGGACAGCTATGGACAGGTTTCTTTTTCCAGGTCATCCCAGTGAAACAGAAAGTAAGGCCACCTGCTGTACATGGGCTGCAGGCACCTGGGGGTGCTGGGGACCCACCACCCCTTCAAAGAGAGCACATCCTGACATGGCCTCTGTTGTCCCCACCTCCTCGGACCTGGCTGACTTGCATGAACACACATATGTTTCTGTTCCCTGTGGACATGGAGACTGCAGTGCCGCACAGCCTCTTCCATGCAAACACGCCAGCCAGAAATCCGTGACTGTGCCCGGGAAAGCAGTGGAGGAGCTGCTAACCTGGCCCCCAGTGGCTGGGCCTGGTAGACAAGGCTGGGCTCCACAGCTGACAAGGGCTGGTGAGCAGCAGGCCTCAGCCTGTCCTCTGCTGGCTGCTAAACTCTTGAGAAGCTTCCTCTCATTCACCCTCGTTCTTGACCTTCTACGCATGCCCTAAGAACATCAAGTAAATGACATCGAGGAAGACTCGATTTCCAGCACTTGATTTTTAGTCATCTCATGATCTTTGCAGGTGTTTTTTAACTACATTAACACTGCTTGTGTGACTCATCAGTCCCTGAGGAAGTCATGCCCGAGAAACAGATTGCTTATCACACACACTTCCAACAAAACAACCCAAAATGAATTTCTATAGGAACCTGGACTCCCTGTAAGTTTAAGACATATGAAGCTGCCTGGGATGGATACCGGGGAAAAAGATGCCCATTGATTCCAGATTGGCTTTGCCTCGTGGGGTATCACCCTCTGCTTACATCCCGAAAATGTTGATTTAGTGAAGAACTCAGTGGTTTCTTGATTCAGTAGAGTAGGAAGGTCACAACATCACCCATGAATATTTGTGCCAAAACAATGTCACTGGAATCTAATTGAGGCCTCACTTCCAGCTTACAGTAAATACGAAGTACAAACAATCAGACAAACGGAGGTGAGAACAATCAGACAAATGCAGCCTGTGAGAGGCTGGCAGAGACCGTTGCTGGCACCAGCAGCCATCTCCAGCCCACTTACTCCGTGCCCACCTCCAGGTAAAGCATCTGAAAAGCCTGGTCCTTGGTTTCAGCTAAGGGTGAATCATGGGTTCATCAGGCCCCATTCCCCTGGATAATGAGAAGTAACAGGGACTCTGCTGGGTGGCTTCTTAGATTTTCCTCCTTGATAAAAGGAAAAAGACACATGGGGAGCCCCTTGTAGCTCCATCTCCTTTTCTTCCTGCCAGAGACACTGTCCTGGGAGCACAGGGTGTGTGGACCTATGACAGTTGTTTTCCATCCGTCAGGGGAAAGGTGGCAGACACACTAAGTGTATTAGTTATCCAGTGCTTCATGACAATTTACCCTGAAACATGGCACTTTTTTTTTTAAATTATTATACTTTAGATTCTGGGGTACATGAGCAGATCATGGAAGATTGCTGCATAGGTACATTCATGGCAAGGTGGTTTGCTGCCACCATCCCCCCATCACCTATACCTGACATTTCTCCCCACATTATCCCTCCCTCACCCACCCTCCCGCTGTCCTTCCTGTAGTACCCCCGCCCCCACAAAGGGCACTTTGAAACAATAAGAACATACTATCTCACACCATTTTTGAGGGTCAGGAAACTGCTTAGCAGGTGGTTCTGGCTCTGCATCTCTCAAGCTTGCATTCAGGCTGACAGCCAGGGACGCAGTCATCTCAAGGCTCACTGGAGCTAAAGAACTCACTTCCAAGCTACCCTCCTGGTTGCCCGTGGGTATCAGTTCGTGGTCAGTGTTGACAAACACTTGCGTGCCTCATGATGTGGGCCTCTCCACTGTGCGGCTCACAGCTTGCAGATGACTTTCTTCAGCGAGAGATGAAGAGAGTGAGAGTAAGAACGAGGGAAGGAGAGCGTGTGAGCCCAAGACAGAAGCTGCAGTCTTTTATAACCTAATCTCTGATATAGTCCCATCTACATTCTGTTGGTCGCATAGACCAGCTCTGGTAAAATGCAGGAAAGGCGTGAATAGTAGAGGGTGGATATTACTGAGGGCAAATTTGAAGGCTGGTTAAGGCACCAAAAATCGTATAAGAAAAAGCCTGTGTCCGTGCTGAGATCCTTGTGTGATTGCAACAACCCCCGCCTCCGTTTGTGTGTGTGTGCATCCTGCGATGTCAGGTAACTCAACGTCTTTGTTTTTAGTCACTGTTCACTTGATATTTGCTGTTGAAAACCTCACGGCCAATGCAAGGGCTTTGAAATACTTCTAGA